AGCCATGACAGAGGATGAGTTGAAATATTTATAAATTAGCTATCATACCTATAGATTGATATTCAATAGAATCAGCTACTGATTGTTTAAGAGATTCAGGTACAGCAATATTTTTTGCAAATTCAAGCTTTGTCGCACATTCCTTCAATTTCTCCATAATATATAGGTCATTTGGGCATAATCTGTTGGCCTTAATCAACGGGGAGAGGAGAAAGAAAATGTTCAACAAACAGATAGTTAGAAGGTAAGACCATCTTTGCATATGGTATCCTTATCATATCTAAAAAATGGGCTGCTTTAATGCAAGGAAACATATGCACAAACCAAAAGTAACTAAATCTATCGATCCATGACTGGAAATATATATACAGGAAAAACTTTGATACTTCCTCCATTCCAGAAAAAGTTCATGATTCGGTTTAAGATGTTCGATTGAATCAATTTTCAATTCAATTTATTTGAAAGTAAGTATAAAATTTAAAATTAAAATTGATATGCTCCCTCTGTACCAAAATAAGGCTTATTTTCGGTTTACAATGTTTGACTGAAGTTATTTTCAAATCAATATAAGTCAAATTTGGTGTAAAATTAAAAAATAAATATGATATATTAAAAAACTGTGGTGACGAAGTTATTTTACTTTATCAAACGATCAATGAAAACGTATAAAGAAAGTTAGTTTGACCTGTAAATAATAATTAGGAGTCTTTTTTTTGGGGACAAAGGAGCATTTAAAAACTACACCAAAATTCCAACAAAAGAATAGGCGACATGACTACTTTAATTAAGCAAATAATCAATGAAAATATGTAAGAGGAGAAAGTATAAGTATGATTTGACTATGTGGATAGAAACATGGGACGGAGGGACTATCAAAATAGAGATTAAAAAAAACCTGTTGAAAATCTTTGAGTGCATCCTCAAACTTCCCCATTGCTAAATATGCATCACCTCGTCTATAGTACCCCTGAAGAATTCAATGGAATCCCATGTTAAAAGAAAACCTAAAACTATAGATATTGCAATAATTCTGTGAGATTTTTGCTATACTTCCAGAATCTCAACCTGCCTTTGTATATTTAGGGTCAACCTCAATAGCTTTTGAGGCATCCTGTACGGCAGGGCCATACTCCTTCAGTTTGGTGTGGGCGAAGGCACGGTTAGCCCAATACACCGCATTCTGGCCATCCAATTCAATTGCTCGTGTGTACAAATCGATGGCTTCAGCAAATTTATGCGCTGAATTTCATTTCGAAAAATATCAAAGGATAAAGGAAAAGATCCGTTTCTGTTCCCAGTGAGAAACTGTGTGCGCATACAATTTGTACATAAGAGCGGAATGGCAGTACCTTTGAAGGACTCATTTGCTAGGAGTTTGAACTGCTCTGCTTTGGAGCCGTTGGAAGACTCCATTGACGAAATTCGGATTATTGTTTTGCTTTTTTGAGTTCACGAGCCTTCTTCGATTGGACTGGTTTCTTCAGGGAACCTGAACGGAGACTGGAACTGCAAACACGACGGCCGGCAACCGGTGAAGACCATGGACTTAATCGGTGGTATATGTAGGGCTGTTCTAACTTCTAACTTCCACTCCTATTGTGATCCTCCGTACTTTTTAGAGTACTTTTGAAGTTTGAATAATGTATAAAGTGTATCTCCCTCCGTGTATTTGTCCACATTTGATTTTTGGAACTGTTTATCTAAGTACTTTGACTCATCAAATTCTCTCAATGTGTAAAGTGTATCTCCCTCCGTGTATTTGTCCACATTTGATTTTTGGAACTGTTTATCTAAGTACTTTGACTCATCAAATTCTCTCAATGTGTAAGTCTAACACTATGTTTGGTTCAAGGAATTTGGTAGGAAAAGAAAAGAAAATGGTTTTCCCTCATTTTCCTCACCAAAATGGGAGGAATTTGGTTTTCCTTCCTCTTAGTACATTTTGCCTTCTATTTTTCCTTTCCTTCTACTTTTCTTTTCTTTTCCTCTCTAACCAAACAAGAAAAATATTTTCCTTCTCATTTTCTTTTCTTTTCTCTCTCAAATTCCTTGAACCAAACATAGTGTAAATATAATCATGTGTGAATAGATTATTAATATATAATTTTATAATTTTTTAATATACAAATTACAAGATAAAATAGATTAAAGAAGTACATTGGATGGTATGAAAGTGGACAAATACAGTGAGACGGAGGGAGTATACACTTTGGAGTTTGGACTTTGGAGGAGATTTCCTGGCCACGACGTTATTCGGACTTTTTTAACCACAAGAATTTGTTGACATTGAAAAAAATGACATTAAAATGACAAAAGTCTTTAAGGTGCTTCATTAGTTAAATTGATAATCCATACCTATTACGAAGTATAATTCTTTCTATACCCGCCAATAACCCGCCTTTGAATGTTGATTTGGCAATGCCAGATTGGCAATCAAGAGTGTGCTAGATGATGGTTAGTATCGTCAATTTACCAATAAAGCACCGTAGCTATTTGTGTCATTTTAAAATTATTTTTATTAATGTCAAAAAATCCATTGTGGCTTTTTATATTTCTTCCGTCTTAAAATTATCGTTTCACTTCGAACAATGTGCAAACTCTGATCTTTTCTTTTGTATACAAATTCGAATAAAAAAAAGTGAATTATATACTCCGTATATAAAAACTACATAAAAAATTTACAAAATAAGAGGTATCATGAATATTTTATTTTATCAAATGATCATTGAAAATATGAAAACAACCAAAAAAAATATAGAGAGACCAGAGTAGTAACTCTGATGACAATACTAAGATAGTAAGTACTCCCTCTGTCTGAAAATGAATTATCGAAATACTAATCACCGGTCAAACGTTATTCACTTTATTTGTTTATTTTCAGAACTACTACGTATTTCATAATATGAATAAATAGTCATATCATCTCTTGAATTGAACAACTATTTATATAGTTTTGAAATATACTCCCTCTATCCCGCTATATTCGTCCATTTTTGACTTTTGGAACTGTTTATTTAAGTACTTTGACTCATCAAATTCTCTCAATGTGTAAGCCTAAATATAGTCATGCGTGATCTCGATATTCTCTCCTTTTGGATTTAATTTTTTCACTTGATTTTTTTTGTTAAAATTTGCAAAGTTTGATCTCGATATACAGAAAATACATATTATATTCCAATATACTCCGTAAATGTAAGACCAAGAACTTCTCTTTTGGTTTGAGTGGTAAGAAGCCCACCCCCTCCGTCTAAGAGTATAAGGAAAATAAGAAAATAAGGCAATAATACGGAGTAGCATTTTCTTTAATATACTCCCTTTGTCTAAGAGTATTTTTCCATTTTTGACTTTTTCAGTCAAAATTGACAAATTTGGACCAGAAGTAAAACAAAAGTGATACAACCTCCTTTCCAGAATATTTGTCCACTTTCATTTTTATACACCATCCAATACACTTCTTTAATCCATTTTATCTTGTAATTTGTATATTAAAAAATTATAGAAATTATATATTACTCGTAATATTCTATATGTTAAGACAAATCAAAGAAGATCACACATGACTATATATTTAGGCTTACACATTGAGAGAATTTGATGAGTCAAAGTGCTTAGATGAATAGTTCCAAAAGTCAAAAGTGGACAAATACTCCGGGACGGATGGAGTATTAGATATTGATATAAAAATAATTTTATGAGATTCATTTTCTAAAATATTTTCAAAATATTATTTTATCTAATTAATGTATAAAATTATTTAATTATACGTCAAAGGTTGAAAATAGTTGACTACAAAAAGTCAAAAATGGACAAAATTCACAATATTGAGTCCTATTTAGCGAATAAAAAAGTTTAGGTCCTACATTGAGAAATGACTTGTGTTTTAGTCATATTTAGTGCAAAATTCACAATATTAAACCAGAAAAAGAGAGTAGTAAATTTGACTTTTGTTAATCAATTATGTAAAACTATACTTATTAAAATATATATTTATAAAAAAACTAATATTAAAAAATTCAAACACTAAGAACTGGGTAAGACTATTAAATACTCCGTATTTGAGTCCTACAAAATTGGATCCTTGTGCAGACAGACATCTTGCACCACCTAAAGCTATGGGGGATAGTCGAGGGGGATGGGGTTTCAATGCCCCATGGCATTGCTATGTGGAAAGTGTATTCATCAACTTCATCAATGTTTAGGTGTTGTATGGTGTGTAGTGATTGGAGGTGACCAATTTATTGTGTAGTAATTGTTTTTTGTTTTTCTCCTTCAAGCCATTATCTCCACCAAAACTTGTTTGTACTCCCCAGGTGGGGCGGAATTGGCGAGACACTTTTCTTTGTTATTTCAACCGGACGATCGGCTTGGCAACAACATTTGGGTCGCGCCCCATACCACATAATCTAAGAGCCAGACTTGTTCCAAATCAACTTAAGACATTTTAATTTGGATAGTGATAGTCACATAAGCTATTACAGTGAATACGCCATATCAACAAAATGTACTTCGAGATATATAATTATTTTATGATTTAAAATTTTTTTATTACCTTCGTCCATAAGTATTTATCAAGCTTTAACTTTATATAGTCCAAATCAATAAACTTTGATTATTTATTAAATTAAATTTATATTAAATAATGATACAAGAATAACTTTATTAGATTTATCATCAAAATATTATTTTATTTAATAAATATACCATGTAATTTTAGGAAAAACTCATTGACTACAAAAAGTCAAAGGTCATCATGACAAAAAAAGGTGTAGCCATAATGCCCCTTCTAAATCATTACATAAATATTTTTGGCATATAATGCGCGAGGGGGAGGTGTACAGGGACGCCATGGCCGGCCAAAATGCCCACTACAGGTGATCTTAGAATCCAACTACAAACTATGTCTACGTACTATAAAAGTAATAAACACAGAGTACTAACTTAAGAGACTGTAAACAGCCAAAAGAAGTCAAGAGCTCAATGAAAAGGAGAGTCCATCATCAAACTTGTTCCTTCCTCGCGGAGACTGCCACATATTGTCAAAAACATGTTGCAAAAGAATTTGTCATTATGATCTGAGTGTAGATTCTTCACAGATCATTTTTGGACACATATCTTTTGATCCTGTTGATTACCCAACCTGCCGTAGAATTTTAAAACTTTAGGGTGTACCATGATCTTTCCAGGATCAAAACTGGACAAGTGAAGGCCTTCCAAGGTTTTCACACGCGAAAGTGCCACATATACCATCCCGTACCCAAAAGATCTGTTGAGATTTGTAGAAAGGCTGTTTATTGTCATGCCCTGACTTTTATGGACACTAAGAGCCCATGCCAGTATGAGTGGGATCTGTTTTCTTGTGGCAACCTTCTCCCTTCCATCCATCAGCTCCCATGTTTCAGGACCAATTATAAGTTCATCAGACCCGAAGTCAAATTTCACGACAGGTAACCAGTTAGTGCCAAGTGTTTTATCTATACCATTAACAAACTCAAAACTCACCACAGTGCCAGCAGCACCGTTCACAAGTTTACCCCGACTGTCTAAGTTCTTAGTCAACATAACCCTTGCGCCTACACACAGTTCAACATAATCAGGTGCGATTCCAGTCTTTAAGCCTTCTTTCCATATGCCACTGTCAAAAGCTCTATAACCTATAAGGTCCTTGTGGAGGCTTTCTAGGTGCATTCTGTTTACTCTGTCCACATCATCAGTCCTTGGAAAGAGCTTTACAGCTAAAGGATCGGCCTCCAAATCTGAGCAACGACTTTCCAAAAGCTTCAGGTCCTCCGAATCATATGTCCCTGTCCTTATTCCCTGAAGAAGTTTTATAAGACGGGGATCCGATTGCCTAAAAACAGCAGTGAGATCAATCTGCATGTCAAAAACCATATTCCAGCTAGAAGCTTCAAAAGCAAATTTATTTGTGTTGTTGTCAAAGATAGGGGGTAACTGATGGAAATCTCCACTACCGACTAGTTGAATACCACCCCAAATCATCTCTACATCAGACCCAGGTTCGCTTCGTATCTTGCGTGCTATGAACTCAAGCTTATCAAACACTTCTCCACTTATAAGGCTAATCTCATCAATAATCAGCACCTTGGCCTCCTTCCATCGGCGAAGTGCGGTTCTGTTGGAGTTTACCTTGTGTAGTAATTCTTCAGCTGAGGCTTCGCCAAGCCCAATGCCAGCAAAAGAATGAAGGGTGCACCCGTTCAGCGCGCAAGCTGCAATACCCGTAGAGGCAGTCACGTAAACCCCTGATCGCCCGTGAATCTTGCGAAGCAATTTGATGATATGCTGGACCAACAGGGTTTTGCCTGTTCCAGCTGACCCGGTCACGAAAACCGACTTACCCTTAGATATGGCATCCAGAACTTGTAATTGTTCTTGGGTCCATTTTATTCCACCCCTCTTAGGCTTAGAACACAAAATATCAAAACCCTTCTCCTTGATTTTTGATGTCGGAGGATAACAGGTGGCGCCCTTTCTAGTTGCCTTAGAGCTAAAATATCTATAAGTTGCTCTGGCAGAGAAGAATATCAAATTCATGGCGCTCCTACACACACACACGCGCGCGCACACACACTGTGATCAGAACTCTACCCTTCTTGCAACAATCAAATTATACTATCCTGTGAATGCACTCAGAATCTCACTCAAGAAGAACACTTTTGGTGGTAAATAATTTCTACCCTTCTTGTAACAACCAAATCATACAAACCAGTGAATCCACCCAGAATCTCATCCAAAGACAACCTTTTGAAGGTGAATAATCTATACACTTCTTGCAACAATCAAACCAAACAATCCAGTGAGTCCACTCAGACTCTCATCCAAAAAGAACCCTTTTGGTGGTGAATAATTTCTACCCTTCCTGTAGCACCCAATTACAGATTCAATCCCATTCAAACTCAAACACATCATCTAGAGAACACTGAACAATGCCTGCACAGATGTATTTTACGGAGTAAAATGAAAGTCGAACTGGGAGTATATTTCCCTGTAAATTCTATCCAAGATTAGGTCAATGGGAGAACTTAAAATCTTATTAAAAATTTGTCAATGTATACGCAACCGAATAGTTTTTGTCTGACGGGAAATATGAATGAAATACACAAGAGAAGAAAAGAGTTTATATACCAAATGGCGATTCCTCTTCCTTTACATTGCTGATGGGCCATTGTTGGAGACTTGGCGAGAGAGAAGTTAACGCACAGACTATGTGCGTGGAATGGAACTGTTGAAGGCTTGGCTTCAGCCCTCTCTCTATCACATTAGTTTTAATCTCTTTTAGTTTATACAACAATTTTACTAGAATAAATTTCATCAGACTTCAAACTAGAGTTTTGTTTAACTTTTTAATATGCAGCCAAGAAATTAAAATTAAAAAGATTTCATTAATAACAACATAAGAAAAAATTACATTAGTTAAACAAACATAAATAAAAGTTATATAAAAAGTAAATAAAACACAAAAAAATTACATAAAGTTAAATATTTTTTTAAATGATTGAATATATGTTCATTCAAATCCGCTGTTAATGCGTCGTGAATCTCTCGACTTCGAATTTCTTGGTAATTTTTTTGTTTTCTTCTTCATAGATTTCTTCGTCGGTAGGTGTCTCCTCATCTAAGTTGTTGTGACAAATTGCAAACTTATTGTCCACTATATATAATCATATTATGAAGAATATATGCGTATAATGTTCCTCATTTTTGTTTGAGAAAAACACTTAGAGAGACGAATAATAATGTGTCACTTATCCTTCAACACATCGAGGCTAGGGCTCATTTGATATCCTTTTTTCCGCCTCATGAGAGATACGACGAAGCAAATGGGGCACCATCGTCAATGGTATGGTGCCCGGACTCCAAGGGTCATGTAACACCCTACCCTGGATGACCCGAGTCATCCTGACTAGAGTGCTAGTAAAACTGGGTTACTTTGTAAAATATCATTTTTCAAAAATATATTCTCTTTTTGATAGCTAAAGAGAATTTAAAAAAAATGTTTTCCACGTAAACTTAAAGTAAAAACATCCACAGTTAATACAACCTTGGGTTCAAGCCCAAAAACAAAGTAAAATTAAGTTCGACGTTTTATTCATTATTAAATATTAAATAAGAACTTCTTTGGTACGACCTCCACATCCAAACTTTCCTCCTCAGCAGTTGTTCCTCTTGCTAGTACCTGCGTGCAGTTTAAAAAAAACTACACGCTCAGCAAAAGCTGAGTGGCAATAACCAATAGACGACATATATAACATGTAAATATATTTTAAGGCATTTTAGGTTAACTAATTTCAAACGCTTTTCACATACTGTATTTCATTGAGGAAATTTTCTCACTTAGTAGATGCTTGGGGACATTTAGAAAATTCTTGACCATACTAGGTTAACCTTAAATTAGAGATTAAGACGTGACTAGGCTGGAACACCGCACTAGTCAATTTGTAGTTTTACTTCGGATACCTCCCCGTGACCTCGGGTCCAGTAATCAGAAGTGAACCCTAGACCCACGGGGTCATCGTTGGGGACTCGTGCGCACGTTGTGGTGTGATTATTTATAGGCTCATCCACATGGACACGGTCCGGCCTTGAAAGTGGTTTGACCCACTTAGTAAATCGTGACAGTACCTGGTCAGGGTACGTCGTTAAAATAACCTTGAAGTTTTTTTTTACTTTGTCTACTAACTGTTCAACTAACCGTAGTACATATGGTCATTTTGATAAAACGCTTTTGATATCTTTGAATGCAATCATTTCCAAATTCCTTTAGGCCCCGTTTGGTACACGGAATTCAAACTATGGAATTGGAATTGGGGACTTCAATTCCAATTCGGTTGTTTGGTAGCACAAAAATTTTGTGGATTTAGAATTGATAGTGCAAAACATGAATTAGAATTGGCAGAATTCAATTCTATGGAATTGAATGCCATGGAATTTCAATTCCAATTCAATTCCAATTCCAATTCCATCAATTCCGTATACCAAACGGACCCTTAAAGATTTACGTTCACATTTAATTTAAAACAGTCTATTGTTGCACACACAAATAAATAATCTTTTTTGTATAAAGCTTTTATAAATTCAAACAAAAGGTTATTAAATAGTTCTCGACACTCATATATAAATTAAACAAAACAAGTTTGTATTTAGTTACAGAGTATTTGTTATTTTAATTCTCTAAGGCCAACGCAAATACGTGAATTTGCTTTCCAATTTTGTTTAAAACAAAAATCATGGCCAAAGCTAAAACACATGATCGTAGATCCATGTTTCTTGTTAATCAGTGCAAACTTTAACCTTTGTAAAAGTAATACGGAGTACGGAGTATTTTTTTTCGTTTATAGACATTCACTATTGCAAGGTATTTTAGAAATTTCTATTCATTTAATTTAATCTTTTAAAAAAAACTAGCCAAACTCTTTTGTAATCATAACTTACATACGAAACACCATTTACAGAGTATTTCTTTTTAAATACTAATTAAGCGTATGCATACAGAGTATATAATGTGTATTCGTATTAAGAAAATAGTTTTTTTATATGCAAAATAATATACCTGAAAAATAAATAATAAATCAATTTAGGTTACCAAGAACAAAATGCATCAAAATATATCAACATAAAATATATATCTAATGGTTAGAGTCAACAGCACATCTCGTAAGTCCACAATTTCGATGGGGCAACAAGATGACACCTTCCCGCTTCTCTTCCCTGAAGCAACCCTCTTATCTCAATCTATGTTTTTTTTCTATTATTATTTGTTTTTTTACCTTGTCCATGATAGCTAGTATTTATACTAAGGGATGGAAGTGTGTAGAATGGTGGAGGGAGAGGAGGGTTAAACGTGTGAGGAAATAGAAACAGTTAAATGAGTGTGAAGAAAACAATGTAGGTGGCGTGAGAAACAAAGGAAAAAAAGTTTTCTTGCTCCGTTGGTTTAATACTACGTGTTCGATTTTCACAGTTTCAATTATTATACATTTTTGGAAAGATGTAAAACCTATACCATTAAGTCACATATTTTCCACACATCATTTTAACATAATTTGTTTGTCAAGAAAATAAATTACTTTATCATCAGAATAATTTTATTTAGGTAGTAGAGAGGACCAAAGTTCACTTTACTCCTTTTATTTATCCTCTCTATTAATTTACTCATTAAAGCTTAACTTTTAATATTTTTTTTCCAAAGAATAGTAGCATATTACTTTATTATATTTTTTTTAAAACATAACTTTTATTATTATATTTTTTTCCTTTGTACTAGAAAGTTAA